TACAAATCGCCCTGTGTGGTAACCCCTCTTGTGATCAGTTGGTTTTGCCGATTGCGAATCGGCCTCGCATGAAGTTCCGATACTGCTGCACGACAGCGTCAAAGCCTCATGACTTAGCTCTTCCATGGCCCATTCTCCGAGAGAGGGGGCCGGCGGCAGGGGGCGAAGCCCTTACGGATAACATAAACCCGATGTGTTAAAAGAAGACAGCCCCATCCAGAAATGTTCCAAAAACATTTCGTGGGAACCACAAAAGGTTCTTAGAACATTGTTTGGTGGGGCTGTAAGCGAGCCAGGACGCTTCGCCACTGCTTGAGGCATGGCCACTCCTGGCAGCGGCCGGCCCGCGGCGGAGGCCCTCGCTGCCCCGCCCGCGCCGGTCCGGCGGCGCAGCCCTATCGGCCGCGGGCGCCGCCGCGGGCCTGCCTGCTGCAGGCGCGGCTCGGTCGCTCCGCGGGCGCCCCCGGGGGGGGGGGGCCGGGAGAGAGCTGCAATACCCTGACATTCCAGAGAGCTATTTTTTAGCACGGGAGGCCCAAACACCTAACAAAAACGAAACGAAACAGCTTAAAACCAAGACATCGAATAGCTCTAAGATAGGTTTTCAAGTCGCGTGCTATTTTATAGCCCTCCTGGAAGGTCTGGGTAGGAGCCCGACCACAAGAGGCCTTCTCTCGCCCATCGCTCGGACGTCCATGTCCCGTGCGTTTGTCGGTTTCGTGCGTGTTTTTGTTTGCTCGATGGTCCAAGATCGTCCTCCATGGTTCTCGCCGAGAAACAATGCACGCGTCCGAGCGATGCCCACCCCCGAGACCCCAGGACGTCGATTGGTTTTTGGTGTGGGAGCGTCACGCCTTCCACAGCAAGACCACCGGGATCCGGGAAGCCCAGGGCACCCTGGAAGCAAGCAGGGTGTTTCTTGGCACGGGCCCCCACTGAAGACCGTGAGGAGGGGGGCGGGGGCCAGACGTGCTCGCGACGTGAGGGGGGCAGGGCGGGCGGCGAGGAGCCGTCTGCAGCCAGAGCTGGGGGGCCCTCGCTGGCCAGGGCACCGTCGACGAAAAACTGCCCAGGAGGGAACACAACGGCCCGGGCGAAAGGGTCTCGGGGCTTCCGGGGGCCCCGCACGGAACAAACAACCGGATATCGCATGTCTGGGGAGGGGGCAGGCGGAGGCGGAAGAGGAGGGAGAGGAGCTAGGGAGGAGACGCCTGGGGACTCAGAGGTCTTCGCCAGAACAAGAAAAGGCGATTGGGCCCGGAAAATAAATGAGCCAGACGAGGCCAGAAGTGGCCCCGGGAAAAAACTTGATTATAGGCGGGATGAGACCGGACTGAACGGGAACAAGCCAGACTACGCAATCGGAATCCCGAAAACTTCTCTAATCTGGTTCAGTCCGATTCAATCGACCAAATGGGACTCAACCAGATTAGGGTAGCTCTCGGCCAGGGATCCACCAGCGCTGCAGCCTCCCAAGACTTTCAGGGAGGGAAGCGCGGGGGGGGGGATGGACCAATTTCTGGGTCAGCTCACCACGTACCCAATCCACGCAGGGAGCGGCTTGGCCAGAAGAGGGGCCAGGCGGAGACAGCAGGCAGGGAGCAGGACGAGAATTACATGGACCAACTTCTGGGTCAGCTCACCGCGTACCCAATCCACCAGCGCTGCAGCCTCCCGAGACTTTCAGGGAGGGGAGCGCGGGGGGGGGGGGGCGGGGACGCGCGGGGGGGCGGCGGGAGGTGCAGGCCCAGACGCCCGGGCCGTTCGCCAAGGTGTCCTCTATATGCGTGGGCCCTGGAGGTCCGGACTACGCCCCTGCTAGAAGTAGAACTGGGATGACCGTGGGAGGTTCTAAACGGAGAGGGGGTTACAATTTGATGCCAAGGTGGGTTATATCTGGCCCAACATGGCTTATAAAAGGGTTACACATTCCCCGAGTGGCCTAGGGGGTTAGATCCGCCGGCCCCCTTGTGGGGCCACCAGGCTGTAGGCGCGGGATTCGCAGTTTCCTGTACCAGTTGTAGCTTGTAGTTTCCAGTGTTACAGTTATGCTTCTTGCTGGTTACTGTAACTAGTTGATTGACCGCGCGAGGGGGGGGGAGGCCCAAACCAGATATTTAGCACCTCCTGGGCGCGTTGTCTGAATTGCTGGGGGGGCTCGAAATCGACACCCCTCACACAGATCGGCGGGGTCAGGGTCCAAAAACACATGGGATTTGCCACATTTCTGAAATTCGGTGCCACCCCTCACGCAGATCCGCGGGGTCAGGGTCCAAAAACACATGGGATTTGCCACATTTCTGAAATTCGGTGCCACCCCTCACGCAGATCCGCGGGGTCAGGGTCCAAAAACACAGGGGATTTGCCACATTTCTGAAATTCGGTGCCACCCCTCACGCAGATCCGCGGGGTCAGGGTCCAAAAACACATGGGATTTGCCACATTTCTGAAATTCGGTGCCACCCCTCACGCAGATCCGCGGGGTCAGGGTCCAAAAACACAAGGGATTTGCCACATTTCTGAAATTCGGTGCCACCCCTCACGCAGATCCGCGGGGTCAGGGTCCAAAAACACAGGGGATTTGCCACATTTCTGAAATTCGGTGCCACCCCTCACGCAGATCCGCGGGGTCAGGGTCCAAAAACACAGGGGATTTGCCACATTTCTGAAATTCGGTGCCACCCCTCACGCAGATCCGCGGGGTCAGGGTCCAAAAACACAGGGGATTTGGCACATTTCTGAAATTCGGTGCCACCCTTCACGCACATCCATCGCAAGGCGTGGTAACCCAAACTGCGAGAACTCCCTCGGCCCTTTAATCGCAAGGTGTGGTAACCAAGCCCGTAAACCATACACGTCTTACCAATCGCCAGGTGTGGTAACCCCTCTTGTGATCAGTTGGTTTTGCTGATTGCGAATCGGCTTCGCATGAAGTTTCGATACTGCTTCACGACAGCGCCAAGGCCTCATGACTTAGCTCTTCCATGGCCCATTCTCCGAGAGAGGGGGCCGGCGGCAGGGGGCGAAGCCCTTACGGATAACTCCGCTAAGTGGGCGGAGCCCACTTAGCCCGGATCGTTAACCCCCCTAAGCTATTTGGGGCATTTGTTGCTCACTTATAAGCCAGGTTGGGCCAGATAGAATCCACCTTGGCATCCACTTGTAACCCCCTATCCACTTAGAGGCCCCCACGGTCATCCCAGAAGAGGAAGGAACAACTGCATAAGCATGTCAACTTTTGGTGCTAATTCGGCTGAGCCCGCATACAAACTTCCCTGGCAGAAGAGAAACACAACTGCAGGTCGGGGCCTTCTAAGAAGCAAGGTGCTTCTAAGAAGCCCTCCCCCCTCCCCCTGCCCCCCGTTGCTCGCCGCAGAGGCTCGAGGGCTCGATGTTGGAGGAACTCGTCGACATTCGAAGAAGACAGAACGCCACGAACAGAACCTTTTGGCGGTCCGCGCGGATTGGCCGTGAGTTGATGCGGGGGTCCATAGATGGGCGGGGGGGGGGGGGGGCAGTCGCATCGCGCAAACAGGCGCCGTCGGTCTCGTCATGGCTACGGCGGAACGCGGGCACTCCGAGCTGCTCCCCAGGTCCTGCCCTGCCCGTTCCGCGCCGACCTGCTCGACCCAGGGCGGATCCGAGAGATCCGAACGGGAGGCTCACAGTTTACCTTTATGGCGTCTCCTTTTCTGCGGCCTGGGGCATCCTGGAATCGCTTCTTGACGCTCTCGAGGCCCAGCGAGGGCCCCAGAGGTTAACAAAGTTTTACGTCGGCGGCGAAACAAGGGAAGTCTGCGATAGCGGAAGAGGCCTCAGCGGGGGTGCCGTTGGCCGTTAGGGCAAATTGTGCCACCATGCAAGAGGGGGAGCAGGAGGAGGACGCGGCCGAAAAAGGGGGCGGACGTAGCGAGCCGCCCAGGGGGACGAGGGAGATTGAAAACAGCCAGCACCCGCCCACTCCAATGTTTTTGAGCGTCGGGCCTCTGGCCATCGCTCGGACGTCCATTCCCTGTGTTTTTTGTCAGTGTCGTGCGTGGCTTTTTCGCCAAATGATCAAGGATGCTCCTCGATGGTCCTCGCCGAAGGGAAAATGCACACGTCCGAGCGATGCCAAGACCTCTGGGAATATCGCGCCACCGCGAGGAGCGCTGCGCAGGGAACGGTTCGGCTCCTGTGGCCACGGCCATCCTTCGGCCGCGGGCGGGCCACCCCGAAGACCGGAGCCCCTCCCGAGCCCAGGGCTGTCCGCACGTCAGCTCCTCGGCTGTAGGCGAGGGGGGCGTCTGAGCAGCCTGGCCGCCCTCTGGAAAGGTCTGCCCACTCCTCCTCCTCCTCCTCCTCGTCCTCCTCCTCCTCCTCCTCCTCCTCCTCCTCCTCCTCCTCGTCCTCCTCCTCCTCCTCCTCCTCCTCCTCCTCCTCCTCCTCCTCCTCCTCCTCGTCCTCGTCCTCGTCCTCGTCCTCGTCGTCGTCCTCGTCCTCGTCCTCCTCCTCCTCCTCCCCCTCCCCCTGCCCCATCACCGCCGCCTGGGGGATCTCGATCTTCGGGGGCCTCGGCAGCCGGCGAGTATAGACAGCCCCCCCCACCCGAAGGGCCCCAGGAGATTCGCCCTTCCGATTGCCCCCCCCGGGCTCGCCGCCGAGTTTGGGGAGGAAGGGAACGACGGGTATGACGGCGACAGCAGCGGTGGCGACGACGAGGGCGCACGCGGGCGCCGCGAGCACCCAGCCGCAAACAGAGGAGGGGAACAACGACAGCGAGGACGACGACACCTTCGACGGCCACGGCTTCGCCAGTGTCGCCGACGACGACGAGGACGGCGACGACGAGGACGAGGACGAGGATGGCGAAGACGACGGCGGCGATGAGGACGGCGACACCGATGACGGCGAAGGGCGGCGACGGCCACGGCGACAACGCGCCGACAGCGACGACGAGGAGGGCCGACGCGCCCGCGCAGCGAACTCGCGCTGCCGCGGCGGCCGCCGGCGGCGCAAACTCACCACCCGTCCCCGTCGTCGCCGCCGAAGAAGTCGGTCACGGCGCCGAAGAAGCCGCCCCCCTTTCAAATAGGAGATCGACTACAAAATATTGGTTCCTCGGATCTACTGATCGGAAGTTGGGGGGTGAGATTGCTATGACACGCAGACCCCCCACCGGGAAATCGGTTTCGGTTTCGTGTTCGTGTCGCGCGTGCGGGCGAGGCGAAGCTGCGCGCGATCCTCCTGTAGTTAGGCCGACATAGGAGCGAAAGTCCGTTCCCGTCCGCCGGTGGCTGGGAGGTGTCCCAGTTGGGCCGGGTGTCAGTAGAAGCGAAAGTCTGTTTCCCGTCCGCTGGTGGCCAGGAGGTAACCCAAGTGGGCCGGGCGGTGTCCCAGGTGTCCCGGGTGTCCCGGGCGTCCCGGCGCTAACGCATGTCGCTAATTTCTTAATCCAGTTGTTTCGGCGCCTGCGGCGGGCTGTCTTATCCAATCCAGCTTATCTTATCCAATCCAGCTTGTTTAAGCCAATCCATCTTATCTGATCCAACCCATCCTGTCCCATCTTATCTTATCCCACCCAATCCAATCCACCAAACGCAATCCATCAATTCATGTGTTTCTGCGCCTGCGGCGGGCCAATCCAAGCCATCTTATCTTATCCAATCCATATCCTCCAATGCAACCCATCTTATCTGATCCAATCCATCTTATCCCATCCAACCCAATCCACCCAGCCCAATCCATCAATTCATTTTAGTCGGCGCCTGCGGTGGGCTTTCTGATCCAATCCAGCTTATCCTATCCAATACACCTTGTCCAATACAATACAACAATACGGCCACCAGAGGCCGAAGACTAGGAAAAACCTCCACAGTGCATTTCGAATGCGTTGGAGGACTGGGATGCTTGGGACGACCGCGGGGGTTGCAAAGGGGATCGGGGGCTTATCACCGGATGCCAATGTGGTTATGTCGGGGTCAATCTGGGTCAACAGGGGGTCGCAAATGCCCCGAGTGGCTTACGGGGTTTAGCGATCCGGGCTTCGTGGGATCCGCCCACATCACGGATTGATCGAACCTTCCCGTAAGCCACTTGGGGCATCTGTAACCCCCTTCTAAGCCAGGTTGGGCAGACATCACCACCCTGGCATCCGCTTATAAACCCCCCTTCTCCTTAGCACCCCCGGCGGTCAACACAGTACGGCGGCGGCGGCGGGAAAAATCGGTTGCACGCAAGAGTAACCCTAGGCAAGAGTGACCTTTCGGTGCGCGGCTTCCAGGGAGGCGCGGGGGACCAAAACCGAGCGCGCAGGCCGCTGCTGTCGCACCTCACCTCGCGATCGGGGAGCCCCAGTGGGCCCGCACCAAAGAGGTCACTCCGGCGAAAGGCCACTCTTATGTGGGACGCACAGCGACATACTACTACATGTCCTCCGTGGAGGCGCGCGTCCGACCCGAACATGTAGTACACCCATCCTGTAGTATATCGTTTCCCGAGCGGAGTGGCCAGCAAGCGCCCGCCACGACGCATGCCATCCACAACGGGGCCTCGTCGCCACCGCCACTGGGCTCCGGCGGGCTCTCCTCTAAGCCGCCGCTCTGGCCGCCCCATGCCCACCCCTGCGAGCCCAGGTCGTCTCCCGCCCCGGAGCCCGCCGCGGCGCCGGCGTCCTCCGCGACGGCCCGCGGCGATCGCTGCCGTCGCGGATGTCGTCGCCGTCGTCGTCGCAATCGTCGCCGTCGCGTCGTCGTCGCCGCCGTCGCCGCCGCCGCCGTCGTCGTCGTCGAAGTCGTCGTCGTCGTCGTCGTTGTCGTCGTCGTCGTCGCCGTCACAGCCGCCGCCCGAGAAGCCCGGCGGATGGATGTGTTCAATCCCGGCGTGCTTCCTGGATTCCGGTTAAATGGAGGCACTTCCTGGGCTCCAGGGCTATGATGGTTTGTTGGTCTACACCGCCAAACAGCCCCACAAGCAGCTGCCGCCGTCCGGGTGAAACGCCGCGGTTGCGGTGGCCATTCGTAGCGTCAGGGTTAAAACGACGACCGAATGTCGTGGACGAGAAGGTGCTGAATCATTGAACAAAAATCTCGGGAGGGGGGGGGGGGAACAGGTCAGAGGATGGGGCGTTGCTTGCGGGCGAAGAAAGGTGCACCTCCCGTGCCCTTTTGGGGCCTCATGGGGGCCCTTCAGGGGCACGAGAGGTGCACCTTCATCTCCTCCTCCTCGTCCTCCTCCTCCTCTCCTCCTCCTCCTCCTCCTCCCTCCTCCTCCTCCCTCCTCCTCCTCCTCCTACTCCTCCTCCTCCTCCTCCTCCTCCTCCTCCTCCTCCTCCTCCTCCTCCTCCTCCTCCTCTCCTCCTCCTCCTCCTCCTCCTCCTCCTCCTCCTCCTCCTCCTCTCGACTCCCGCTCCGCCCCCAAAGCCGACGCCCCCCCCCCCAATGCGCAACGCCCGAGACAGTAAAGAGAGAGAGAGAGAGATGTGCTCCGGGACCACGACCGGGCTGCACGCAAGCGTTTTTGTGTGCAGGGCTCTGTGGAGGACGCAGACGGCGGCGATTCAAAGATGGGGCCCCGAGAGATGGGGCCCTCCGTCGGCTAGCGCGTGGACCACGAGTTGTACCTTCACTGTTTGATGTTGTCGTCTTCAGGACCCCATCCCTCAGTAGAGGCTTTCTGGATGGTAAGAGTGACCTTTGGTACGCGGCTTTTGGGGGGCAGGTGGTGACGCGCACGCGGGGGGTAGGGTTATGTCGGGCCTGTCCCTCTACAGGGAGGATCTTCAAAGATAGTCAAGAAATAGTCAGGGGACTATTTTTTGAGTATTTTTGGGCATATGTTGAATATGTTTCGAGTGTTTTTAATTTTTCGTCCAAAAGCCCCCTGTATGGGGGACAGGCCCGACCTAAGGGTAGGGGGCAGGGGGAAGGCTTCTGGGAGGGAGGCTGCTTCTTGGAAAGCGCCGGCCCTGCATCTACAGACGAGGCCCGTGCCTTCGAAGAAGCACGGGTGCTTCTAAGAAGCCTTCCCCCCTCGGGGGGCCCAACGGGCCCAGTAGGCCCGCACCGAAGGTCACTCCAGCGAAGGGTCACTCTTACGTGTGGTAGACACGACGGACAGACCCCGGGCGAAGAGCCGTCCGTGGGGAACCTCGTCAGACGGTCGGGCCCCACCGAGACCCGGCGGGTGAGGCCGTGGCCTTCTGGATGCTGCGACCCGCTCTGTCGCGCGAGGCGTGGGATCCTCTTGGGGGTGCTCCTGGAGGCGTCTTGAGCCATGTTTGAAGCCTCTTGGGAGCTACCTGGGGCCTCCTGGGGCTCTCTTGAGGCGGAAGCCCTGGGTTTTCCGGACGCGGTCCGTCTCTTGGACACCTCTCGGGCCTGTTTTGGGGCACTCGTGGGCTGCCCTGGGCGCTTCTTGGGCCAGCTTTGGGCTCTCCGGGACCGCCTCGGGGCGGCGTTCGGCGCTTCTGGAGCTGTTTGGGGGCGGTCTCGGAGGCCTCTTGGGCCACCTAGGAGCGTCGGACAGCCGCAAAGATCAGAAGGCCAAAACCCTTCCCAAACTAGTGTAAAACCATTAATGTTTAGCCTGCTGGGGCCCTCGTGGGAGTGCTCTTGGAAGCGTTTGGAGCCATGTTGGAGGACTCTTGCGGGCTGCCTGGGGCCTCCAGGGTCACTGTTGAGGCGGGAGCCCTGGGTGTTCGGTACGCGGTCCCTCTCTTGGGCCCTTCTTGGGCTTGTTTTGGAACCTTCTTGGGCTGTCGTGGGCGCTTCTTGGGCCAGCCTTGGGCTCTCCGGGGCCGCCTTTGGCTTGTCTTGGGGCCTCTGGGGCTGCTTTGGGGCGGACCTGGAGACCTCCTGGGCCGTCTTGGAGCGTCGTACAACCGAAAAAAACAGAAGGCCTAAATCCTTCCAAAACCCTCAGGAAACCATCAACTTTGGCCTCCCGGGGCTCTCTTGGGAGTGCTCCTGGAAGCGTCTGCAGCCATGTTGGAGGCCTCCCGAAACCTCTACCACGTGCTTCGGCGACATGGGTCGAAGATGGGAACCATTCCTGGTGCTGAACCAGCACCAGGGTCCGTCCAGAGCCGCTCGGGAGACGCCCCGAAACGGCTCTGGAGAGGCCCGGGAGGGAGGTGGCCAGAGGCCCAAGGCCTCGTACCCCGACAGATATATATATATATATATATATATATATATATATATATATATACCTATACGACCACCCTTCGGGTGATAAGGAGGTTCGGGGGGGGGAACCAACGTCTCACTCGATCGGTCTCACTATCGATCTCAGTATCGATCTCACTATCGGTCTCGCTCGATCGATCTCACTCGATCGATCTCACAATCGATCTCACTCGATCTATCTCATTCGATCGATCTCACAATTGATCTCACAATCGATCTTACAATCGATCACACAATCGATCTCACATTCGGTCTCAATATCGATCTCACTATCGATATCACAACCGCTCTCACAATCAACGTCATCATCATCATCATCATCATCAACAACAACATCAACATCAACATCATCACAATCATCGTCATCATCATGAGGGCACCGTCATCATCATCATCATCATCATCATCATCATCATCATCAGCATCATCATCATCATCATCATCGGGACACCATCATCGTCGTCATCATCATCATCATAAACATCATCATCATCAACGTCAGCATCATCATCATTGGGACACCATAATCATCATGAGCAACAGCATCATCAACATCGTCATCATCATCATCATCCTCACCATCATCATCATCATCATCATCATCATCATCATCATCGGGACACCATCAGCATCTTCATCATCATCATCACCATCAACATCATCATCAGCATCATCATCGGGACACCATAATCATCAACATCATCATCAACATCATTATCACCGGGACACCATTTCCATCAACATCATCATCACCAACATCATCGGAATCATCATCATCATCATCATCATCATCATCGGGACACCATCATCATCGTCGTCATCATCATCATCATCATCATCATCGTCGGGACACCATCATCGTCGTCATCATCAACCTAATCATCATGAGCATCATCATCCTCATCATCGGGACACTATCATCACCATCGACACCATCATCAACATCATCATCATCATCATCTTCATCGGACACCATCATCATCATCTCATCATCATCATCATCAACATCATCATCATCATCTCATCATCAGCATCAGCATCAGCATCAGCATCAGCATCAGCATCAGCATCATCATCATCATCATCATCATCATCATCATCATCATCATCATCATCATCATCATCCTCCTCGCGGGACACCGCGGGACACCGGCGGGACACCGACACCGGGACACCGCGGGACACCGCGGAACCCAGCGGGACACCGGCGGGACACCACGGGCCCCCGGCCGCCCGGAAGGGAGACATTTGGTCCGGCCGCGCCTCAGCCACACGGGACACCAGCGGGACACCGGCGGGACACCGCGGGCCCCCGGCCGCCCGGAAGGGAGTCATTTGGTCCGGCCGCGCCTCAGCCACAGGAGACTTTCTCTCGCCCGCCCACGCAGCTTCGCCTCGCCCGCACGGCACGCACGAACACGAAACCGAAATCGATTTCCCGGTAGGGGGGGCTCTCCGTTCCACTTCGATCTCACCCCCTCACCTCCGATATATATATATATATATATATATATATACATATACACGTATATGCCCACCCGGAGCCTCGACCCTTGAGCCCCGAACGGCAGCGGCGATCGACTTCGCCCTCTGCTTCCGGAGATCCCAGGAGGTCTGCGGAGGTTCCCGGAGGCCCAGTAACAACGTAGACCCTCGATAGGGGAACGAAAAAGGACACAGATACAAACTCGGAGGTCCGCGCGGATTTCTCGGATTTGCGCTGGGCCCCTCTCCTTGGCGCGCGGAGCGCGCCAGAGGCGCTGCTAGGGGGGTTCAGCGCGGATGCGAGAAATCCGCGCGGACCTCCGAGTTTTCGTGTTTCTATCATTGTTCGTTCCCCAACCATCGACCCGCTGAGCAGCGGAAATGACCACGGCGCCCACCCTCACCAGAACCATGGAGAGGCAAATTCCCGTTGGCACGTGGGGGCTGCGGTGCTGGAGCCGCGCGAGGGAGGGCACAGGGGCGGCCTTGACCCCGGGGCCCAGTTGGGAGGCGCATCCCCAGACGTCCGCCGTCATGGTTTTTTCCGTGCGCGGCCCCGGAGCTCCCGATCCATTCCTCTGGGGAGAAAATCCACCCCCATGATGATCACCCCGACACGCGAGGCCGTTCAGCAAACGCACCCACAGAAGGAATCGAACAGGGCTGTGCAATGAACGCCCAGGGCCGTGTACTGGTAAACGCCACTTGTCGGGCCCGGGCGGTTTTTCCTCCCTGGAAGTTCGGCGTCCCGGCATCGGACTCCCGAGGCTGGAAGGAAGCACGCCAGGACTGCCTACAACTCTCTGGGGATCTGCCTTCCTGCCCTGGGGGGGCGACCCTCCGCCCTCGGGACCATCGGCGGCGCAGCAGCGACGAGGACGGACCCTCGGCCGTCCACGCTCGACACCGAGCTAGCCCCCTCGACCGCCGACCCTCGCCCGAGCATCGGGGAACGAACAGTGTGGCATGAGAGCAGCAAACCTCGGAGGCCCGCGCGGACTTCTCGGATCGGCGCTGGACCCGGCGCGCTCCTCTGAGCTTTCATGCTGACGTCATCCTTCGCCCCCCTCGACCCGAGGGCCTCGAGTAATCTCGAGGGCCTCGAGGGTCTCGAGGGCCTCGAGAAACCTCGAGGCCCTCGAGGTTTCTCGAGGGCCTCGAGAAACCTCGGACCCTCGGAGCCTCGGAGCCTCGGCCGACCGCGGCAGCGACGACGACGAACCCCGGCGGCGTCCGGGCTCGGGCTCGGCGGCGCCGCTTCGGGGCCGGCGCCCTCGTGGCGGTGCACCACCTCCACCTGTGAGCGGCTACCAAAAAACGGCCTTGCGCGCGAGAGATGGCACCTTGGCTGCCCCGATACGCCACACGCAACACGCAGCGCATGGATACGGAGCTCCACACGTGGACTCGAGCGTGGGTCTGAAGCGATACGTTCGCCGAAACGTGGGCCCATACGCGGAGCCAACACGCAAGGAGGAGGAACAGGAGGAACAGGAGGAGGAGGGGAAGGAGGAGGAGGAGGAGGAGGAGGAGGAGGAGGAGGAGAAGGAGGAGGAGAGGGAGGAGGCAGAGGCAGAGGAGGAGGAGGAGGAGGAGGAGGAGGAAGAGGAGGAGGAAGAGGAGGAGAACGTATCGACACGGACGTCCCGAACACGGGACGTGCTGCGTATCGAACCGGGCGTATCGAGGCAGCTGAGGATGGCACAAAGGACAAAGGACCTTCCGCCGCGGCCTGCGCGGGCCGCCAACGCGGCGCGCTCCACTGGCAGCGGAACGGGCCATGCCATAAAGCATAAAAAGCCCGGGGGTCCGCGCGGATTTCTCGGATCCGCGCGGGAGACCCCCTGGCGGCGCCTCCGGCGCCGCCCCTGGCGCGCTCCGCGCGCCAGGGAGGGAGGTCCAGCGCCGATCCGAGAAACTTCGCGCGGATCTCCGAGTTCTCATGCTCATGTCATGTTTCGCTCCCCTAACATTGGAGACGAGGGCGCCTCGACGCGACCTTAGGCGGGCAGCTTGCGCGCGACTGTCGGCGCAACCGACCCCCGTTTTCTGTGCGTGGCTCACCTGCCAGGTGCCGTCAAGGGGGGTGGGTCACCGCTGGGGGGCGTCGCCACATCCTGAAGAAGGCGCCACCTCCTCCAGGAAGGGGTGCCCCCACACCCTCCTCCTCCTCCTCCTCCTCCTCCTCCTCCTCCTCCTCCTCGTCCTCCTCCTCCTCCCTTCTCCTCCCTTCTCCTACTCCTTCTTCTCCTCCTTCTCCTCCTCCTCCTCCATCCTCCTCCGCTTCCTGCCCTCCCCCCCTCGAACACTGCAGCGCCCTCCCCAAAACGACACCAGGCGACCCCCCCCCATTGGCACTGCCCGACACCTGCCGGGGGCCCAGGACGCCGTCCATCATCCTCCGGGGTAGCCGAACCAACTCTGCGCTGGAACCTTCCGTCGTGCTCCCAGATCTTCGGCGATGTGTTCCCCCCCACCGTAGCCATTTCTCTAGAAGCCTCCTAGATGGTGTCCGAGTAGATGCAAGGTCTCGGCTAGGCGAGCGTACTCCCTTACTCCGCCGTGCCTCCCAGGAGCCCACGGGAGAGGCGACAGCTGCGCTGCAGCCCCCCCGGGGAGATGCGAGGTTCTATCTGGGTCTGCCTACTCCCTGACTCCGCTGCACCTCCCAGGAGCCCGCGGAAGTGACGACTGTTGCCCAGTTCTCAGCCGCCCAGCAGCGCATAAGGAGGCAGAAGGAGACGGAGATGAGGAGGAGGAGGAGGAGGTGGATTCAAGCACAAACCTAACACAGGAGCGTTGGGAATAAGCTTTCGGGGCTCCCTGCGGACTTTTTTTAATCTGCGCTGGACACCCTGGCGGCGCCTTCGGCGCCGCCCCGGACGCGCGGAGCACGCCAATCCGGGAGATCCGCGCCGACCTTCGGAAGTTTGTGTGTTCATGCAGTTGTTGTCCTTCGACTCCAAGGGCTCCCCCGCGCGAGCTTTGCCAGTGGCAGGGGTCCCCGGACCTGAGCTTTGTTGCTGGAGTATGGTTGGCCCAGAAGCGGGTCCAGCGCAAGGGGGCGGTGCAACAAAAAATGGTGCGGTAGATTTGGGGGGGATGCACTAGATTTGGGGTGTGTAGTACATGCCGATGCGCAAATGTATTGCTAGGCTTTCGCGTGCAATACGTACTAGATTTGGGGTGTGTAGTACATGCCGGTGCGCAAATGTATTGCTGGGTTTTCGCGTGCAATACGTTAGTTGCAATACAATGCACTACAACTCTCTGGCGCAATACGTTTAAAATGCATTTGCCCCAAACCTATTGCACCACCCCCTTTCAGCTGGACCCTCTTTTGGGTCAACCAGATGAAGGGGGACCGACAACCCAGACATTCGAGGACATGGTGTTCGGAATTTCGAGGGCCCCAAGAGGTCCCGACCGCGTCCCCGTTGGCCACTGTCCCTCCCAGCTTCATGCTGGCTGCCCCTGGGCCCCGAGGAGGGCCAGGCCCCAGAGGCTGCGGCTGAGGAATAACGCTGGGCGTGACCACAACATAAATCCGCCAGAAGCCGAACACTACGAGCCTCTGAAGATTCAAGGTGTTCATCTTTTCAAGACCGCAAATGCAAAATACATTCAAACATGTCTCAATACTCCTAAGAATTCGATGACTTCAGCTCGATGAATTCAAAAATTCGGCAATACAAGACCACATAATTAATCCGCACGTCCGATGTCTTCATTTATTCAATACGGGCTCCCCGGGAAACCCTTTCCTCTCGCCACGTATCGTTCTCCACCCCAAGGCGTGGTTGACGGTCCCGAGGCCCCACGAGGGCCCTGGAGGCGAGGTCCTGGAGGCGAAAGTCGCAAAAGCGCCTCGTGCTCGCGTGGCCAAAAGGATACCGACATAAGTTATGACGTTGTTTCAACGGTCACGCGAGCATGTCTGGGAATCTAGCCGCCATGTGTTCTTTCGAGGCGCCAGATCTAGAGCATCCTGCTGGCCACGGACGTGCCGACGCCCCACGCCATGCCGTCCGCCATGGCGGCGCCGAGCCCGCCTCTCGCGATGGGCAGCGGCCGTCATCGTCGGTGGTCGGTCGTCGGTAGTCCTCGGTCGTCAGTGGTCGTCGTCGTTGGTCGGCGGTCGGCGGTCGTCGATCGTCGGTCGTCGGTCGTCGGTCGTCGGTCGTCGGTCTTCGGTCTTCGGTCGTCGTCGTCGTCGTCGTCGTCGTCGTCGGTCGTCGGTCGTCGGTCGTCCGTCGTCGGTCGTCGGTCGTTGGTCGTCGTCCCCAAACCCCCAAACCTCCAGCGTCTGGTTCAATGTCTGCCAAATCTCTAGGCCTCTCGACAGCATCTGGGGGGCCATTTTCCACACCGGAGACTGCCCCTGAGCCAGAACCAGCCCCTCCGTCTGCAGTTCTGCAAGACGTTGGCGGCATGTGCCAGGCGATAGCACAGCGCCCTCCCCGACCTGTCCAGGGGCGCGTTCTGGCCGGGATCCCAAAGGGAATCCAGCCGGGGCCCGGAGGACGCCGCCAGATGCCCACAAACGACCGGGATCCTCGAAGCAAGACCCTTGAGCCCGAAGAAGCCCGAAGACCCGAACGCGCTCGAAAAGCGGGCCGAGAGAGGGGGGCGCACGATCCCACGGAGCTGGCTCTCCGGGCGCCTTCCAGCGCCAGAGGCGGTCGTGCATCGAGGGGAGCGCTCGGCGGCGGGGCTGAAGATCCACCCTTTCCTGATCCCCCCCGTTCGGAGGGGAGCGTCGGGTTTATGTCGGGCGTGTCCCCCCACAGGGGGATTGTCGACGAAAAAAAAACCCAAAAGTACCCCAAAAGGGCAACAAACATATTTTAAAATTAGTACCAAAACTATGTTTGGACTATTTTCTTATTATTCTGGGGGTATTTTTAGGTTTTCGTCGAAAATCCCCCTGTAGGGGGACAGGCCCGACTTAACGTCGGGGGGCGCTGGCTCAGGGGGGCCATCGACCTGGAATCGGCGACACATGGCCGATGGAATCGGCGACAGGCCCCCGACCGCGAGGCCGCACGCTCCTGGGCGGGGTGGGATCCGAATCGGCCCCCACGTCTGCGATCGATTGGCGACTCGGGGTCGACGCATCCCCCCCGAGCCTGTCCACCCGTAACGTTGCCCCCCTGGCTTTCAGAGAACAACTCGGCTCTCGAGGTATCCAGCGGCCGTTCGAGACGATTCTCAAAGGCCGAACTCCCACAGGAATTGGCGATTCGGAGTCGGCCCGAGAAAACTTCAAGAATCCCGACCTCGGATCTCCGGCAGCCGTTCGGGACGACTGGGCGTCCCTGGGAGGACGCCCTCGGCGAGGCTCAGACGCTGGAGAGCGCCCCGAGGCTGGAGAACCTCCGAGGACCGACGAAGACGCCCGAAACCGTTTCCTATCCCTGTTGGAAGAACCAAACATGGCATTCAACATGATAACTGCGCGGGTTTCGGGGATCGGCGCTGGGCCCCCCTGGCAGCGCCTCCTGCGCCGCTCCGCGCGCCATGGAGGGGAGTCCCCAGCGCCGGTCCGAGAAATCCGCGCGGAGCTCCAATAACTTCTGGTCGTGTAGTTCTTTCTTCCCCGACCTACATACAGTAGGGGCCCGACCACAAGAACCCGTCCACAAGAAACCCAACCCTGAGGCCCCAGGGCGTCAATTGATGTTCGCGGCGTGGGAACGTCACGCTTCCCATCACAAACCCATTCGTGAGGGGTGCGCCGCAACTCGTGGGTCGGACGCATGTGGGCGGCGTTCCTGGGACCTTCGGCGGAGCCCCTTTATGGGGCCACGATCCTCGTGAGAGGCGCGCTGGAATTGGTGTCGACCTCATGGCTGCGCCTCTGGGACCTGCGGCGGAGCTTCCTATGGGGCCACGGTCCTCGCGAGGGGTGTGCAAACATGGGTGTGTCGGACGCGTGCGGCCCGCGCTCTTAGGAGCTTCGCTGGAGCTTCCTATGAGGCCGCAGTCCTCGTGAGGGGCGTGCCGATGTCGGTGGGTCGGACGCATGCGGGCGGCGCCCATGGGACGGACCTTCGGTGGAGCCCCCTTATGGGGCCACGATCCATGTGAGCAGTGTGCCCACATGGGCGGGTCGGACGCATGTGGCTGGCGCCCCCTAGGACCGAAACTGCATGCGAGGCCACGATCCTCGTGAAGGGATGCGCCGAAAAAGGGGGGGTCGGGCGCATTGGGGCGCCGCCCCGAGGACCTCCAGTGGAGCTTCTTATGCGGCCGCGCTCCTCGTGAGAGGAGTGGCGAAGCTGATGGTGATGATGGCGACACTAGCGGCGATGCCGATGACGATGGCGATGCTGATGATGATGGTGATAATGATGATGATGGTGATGATGATTGCGCTCTCCGAAAGTGGTCCGTCGCCGTACCGCGAACGCTCACCGCCTGCTGCATTACTGACGTGCCTAAAAGCCGCGCCACCCTCCAAGGTGCAGCACACTGCGAGGGCACAAACAATTATCCCCACTCCTCGGGCAGTGATATGAAGAGTGCCACACGTGCAAGGGGCATGGAAAAAAGGAGGCGTGGCGCGCGCCACGCGGCGGCCTAGGGAAGCGCTGCGCAGACGAGCCCACAGCGCGATGCCAGGCCCAGCGCCCACTCATCCGCAGCGCCTGCTGCTCATGCCTCGGCCCTCTACCAGGACGTGCTGCCGCCACGCGGCAGAGATCACTTCCTGAAACTCGTGGCGCTCCAGCTCGGCCTCCTCTGCGCTGAAGCCGCGGGCCACGTCGCCCAATATCGTCTGGGCCTCCCTGAGCATGCTCGCCAGCCGCTCGGTGCACGTCAAGATCATGCCCTGCCCGTTGGCGAAGTCGCCCTCCATGATCGCCGTGAGGTCTTCTCGCACGGCCTCCAGGCGCCCCCAGGAGTCCTCCAAGCATGTGGATAGGGGCGGCGGCGTTGCGGCTGCGGCGTCGCTGCACGTCGCCCCCGCCGCCGCGGTCAACCAGTCCACGCTCTCGTTCTCCTTGTATTCCTGGGTGTCGCTAGCAGGGTCTGGCGGGCCAGTGCCATCGACGCTGAACACGTCGTTGTCGTACTGCCCCAAGTTCTGCTCTCCGTTGTGCTCGTCACTGTGCTCCACGCTAGCGACGCCCGCGCCTGCGCATGGGATGGCCGAGTCGGGCGGGGACTCGGCAAATTCCCGTTCGGGCGGGGCGCCGCCCTCATCGCCGCCCTCGAGTGCGCCCCGGGCCCCTGCCTGGGCCTCGGCGCAAAGCGCGGGGAAGTGGGGCACCGCAAGCAATGCGGTGGTTGGCGTCTCGCTGTGCGTGGCCGCCGCCAACCGTGGCCCCTTCTGGGCCTTGCGCAGCCGCCGTGGCGCCGCCGTCGCCAGCGGCAGAGGGGCGCCCATGGCGTGCAACGCCACGTTCCGCCGCAGCACGGCGACTGGTGCCAGCCTGGCGCCCTGCAGCATGGCGTGGGGGTGAACTGCCACGACCTTTTGGCGCTCGGCCACCTCGCCACTGCCCAGCGCCTCCAGCAGCCGCCCGTGGCGGCCGCGCCAGAACTTGACCTCGCGCTGCAACTCCTGGATGAGGGCGTCGGCCGACCACCGCGCCCATCGCCGACTGTCCTGGCGTCGGCGCCTCGGCTCCGCGCTGGAGCCTTCGCAAGCCCCATCAGTGGCCACCTAGAGGGGCCACCGCGCGCGCCATCCCAAGCTGCGCCCGCCGCCCGAGGGAAGCTGGCACGGTGGCTTGAGCCAAAACGGCTACTGATGATGATGCTGCTGCTGATAATGCTGATTGGTGTTGATGATCATGATGATGCTGGTGGTGATGATGATGATGGTACTAAGAATGATGATGGTGACGATGGTGGTGACGATGCTGATGAGGAGGATGATGATGCAGATGACGATGACGATGACGATGACGATGACGATGACGATGACGATGCTGATGATGGCGGTGATGATGACGATGATGCTGATGAGAAGGATGACGATGCTGCTGCTGCTGATGATGATGATGATGATGATGGGGATGATGACGTTTGTGTTGATGCTGATGATGCCGATGCGGAAGAGGATGATGACGAGAATGATGCTGGCGATGATTATGATGGCAATGCTGATGCTGAGTATAATGGTGTTGATGATGACGATGATGGTAATGGTGCTGTTGCTGCTAATGGTGACGATGATCATGAAGATGGTGATGCTTGTGAGTATGATAATGATGATGACGATGATGATGATGATGACGGTGCTGATGACGACGGTGATGATAATGCTGATGCTGATTATGGTGATGATGATGATGATGATGATGATGATGATGATGATGATGAAGGTACGGGTGCTGATGATGGTGATGGTGAGTGTGATGATGTTGCTGCTGATGAAGATGATGATGCTGATGAGAATGATGAGGATTGTGATGCTGATAATGCTGATGATGAGGACGATGATGAAAATGATGATGATTATGATGCTGGTGGTAGTGATGATGATGACGACGATGACGATGACGATGACGATGACGATGACGATGACGATGACGATGACGATGACGATGAGGATGAGGATGAGGATGATGATGATGATGATGATGATGATGATGATGATGATGATGATGATGATGATGATGATGATGATTATGCTGATAATGATAGTGATGTTAATGTTGATGATGCTGATGCTGGTGATGATGAGGATGCTGATGATGCTGCTGATGATGACGGTAACGACGCTGACATGCAAGAGATGGAAGGAGGGAGGATGAGCAAGGGGAGGAGGAGGAGGAGGAAGAAGAGGAGGAGGAGGAGGAGGAGGAGGAGGGGGAGGAGAAGGATGAGAAAAGGAGAGGAACGCGGGGCGCTGTCTCTCCAAAACGAGGACCCAACACCTCAGGATGGTAGGGAAAACACATGATCTCCAAGACGGCGAGTTCACAACAACGGCCAAGGCAGGCTTAGGTCCTAAGCCTGCCTTGGCCGCTGCTTCACAACGCTCCCTCACGGTGGGGGCGTGGCCTTCGCCAACTGCACACGTGGCCTCGGGGAGGCTGCTATCCGTCCGGGGCGTGGCGCACACACACACACACACACACACACAAAAACAAACAAAAAAAAACAGGCCTCGAGGCGAGAAAGCCTGCCGAAAACCCCGAGCGCGCACGGCGGCGGACGCCCCAAGCCGAGCCGCGCCGCCCGCGGGCGCGGCGCGCACCGAGCCCGCCTCCGCTGCCCGCAGCGGCTGGCGCGGCGGCGCCTGCCGCCGCCGCCGCGGCCGGCGCGGGTCGCGGAGCGCCGAGGGCCGTCGTCTCGTTGGTCTGCTGGTTCCAATAATCCGCCAGCCCGCCCGCGCCCCGCGGCGGTCAGCCGCCAGCGTCGAGAAGGCGAGTGACGATGTGTCGTGTGTGCAGGGCGCGCGGCCCATGGAGCACCGCCAAGTGTCACCTTCCAGAGCCCAGGAAAAATGCCCCACAGCTTGCGTCGGATCCCACAAGAGGTTTTCCAGGCTCGGGGCGCTTTCCTGCAGCCGCGCCTCGCCGAGGGCGATCCGGGAATGCCTGGATCGTCCCGAACGGCCGAACGAGACCCGAGCGCGGACCCGAAAACCAAATGTGCTCGGGTCGTGACTAAGGAGGTTTTGGGCAATTTTCGGTCTCCGAAGGCCCTGGCCGGGACGCGGAGCTGTCACATATTGAGTTAGGATGAAGACCCGTTACCTGGGAAATGGTCCAGACCTCTGGGTACCACGTTGTGAGCAGATCACGACGTTGGATGTTTGGGTCTGCCTTCGGGAGGACGGGGAAGAGCGGGAGGCCCAGGATAGGCATTTTCTAAGAAGGGCACTGCTCCCTCGTGGTTGCTGGGGTGCTGCTGGCGTTCGGCCCTGTGTCTCGCGAGGCTTCTCAAGACTGACGGCCCTTTTCCTTTAGGATTACCAGGGTATTGTGCGAGCAGCCATCGTTTGTCGGCCTGACGGCCAGCAGCGAGGTTAGTCATGTTCCTGCTCAGGGCGTGGACCCCCTGGGGGGTCACAGATCGCGACGTGCACGGCGGGGGTACGCATCGTGACGCGAGGACGCGAAGGACTGCGAGGACGCGAGGACGAGGAGGAGGAGGCGGCGAGCGTATCCATAGATCTCGGCTACACGCAAGAGTGACCCTAGGCAAGAATGACCTCTGTTGCGCAGCATTCTGGGCCCGCGGGGAAGGCAAATCCGTGGGCGCAAGGCTGTGCGTGTGCACCACGGGTCACTCCAGCGAGGGGTCATCTCGCATGCTGGCCGAAGATCCACGCCCTCGCGGACGGGACTCCGAGGCGCGAGCCTGCAGATACAGCGGAGGCGAGTCCACAAGAACCCTTCCACCAGAAACCCATACCTGAGACCCCAGGATGTCCATTTGGCGTGGGAGCGTCGCGCTCTTCATAGCAAAACAATCGACCCCCAAGAAACCGAGGCAAGCAGGGTGTTCTTTTTGGCATGGGCCCCCACCGCACGCGGTCGCATGGATGCGTGCCGCGCGGGGCATCCCAGAGTCCACGGGGTCTCGCGGCCCCTAAGAGCCCAGCCCCTCGAGGCCGTGGAGCCCGAGAGATCTCCGTGTGCGTTGAGGGAGACGGCCGAGGGGCAGTTCCTACACGGGGTCCGTAGGTAGAGGCGAGGAGTAGGAGTTCTTTTCAGGGGCTCTGCACAAGGGGGAATGCGCCGTCAGTGTTTTGCCAATGCCTGGGCCAAGCCGGGCCTCCCTTTTCTCCCCGCCACCGACAGATACGTCCGCCGAGTTGGAGCTGCCATGAAGGATTGGGTTCGAAGTGTACTGCCCGATGCAATCCGCCTGGCCGGGGACGGTTTCCGACTTCAAGATGCAGTGAGTGACGCCTCCACATGGCGCCAAAGAGTGCGCCATGCATGTTTGCATAATTGATCTGCCGGTATGCACGCCCATGGGCTGCCACAGCCTACGGCACGAGCGAGCCAATCCAGTTGCGGTAAAAGAGGGTATAAGAGGGAAGGGGGCGGACTTCACACACACACACACACACACACACACACACACACACACACACACACACACACACACACACACACACACACACGCACACACACACACACACTCACTCCGAGAGCCAGCAGGGCTGGAGCGTTCCAGCACGCTCCGAGAGCGCTCCACAACGCTGCGGGGCGACATATCCGTTGCGGATGCCACGGCAATGGGCACCCCAACACTCCTATCATTGGATTAAACATGCGTCTGGCATGTTTGGAAAGTGTCCGAATCATGTTTCAAACATGTCGTGTACATGTCTAAGACATGTTGTAAGCATGTCTTAGACATCTGGGAACTATTTGGCAATCTGCGGGCTCTCCACTGATCGCCTTCCACAGCTCATCCGATCCTCGGGCTGCCTGGTCGGGCCCTTGCCCCCGCCGCCCAGCCCCTCAAGTCCAGGCGCGCCGTGATTCCTTTCACGACACGCGCTGCTCCCCAGTGTGGTCGGCTCCTGGGCCCCTCGACGATGGTTGGTAGTCCCCAAACGTGGTGGTGACAACACCTGGCGGTGAGTCTCGGGCGATTTGGTGTCACCACCCGGTTTGGGGACTCGTGCGGTTTTCCGAGGATGTCCCGAGCGTTGGTGGGCCCAGGAGTCACAAAACCCGGCGGTGGCCCCGCGTCCCCAAACCCAGCGGTGACCTTTCTGGGGATTCCAGGTCGCCACCTGGTATCTCACCACCCGGTTTGGGGGTTCCCAAGATGGGCTCGGCTCGAGAACAGCTGCCCGGAAACGGGGCTCCGGTCGCGGCCCTGCCCCGTGTTGCACCACCTCGTCGCGGCGTGCTGATGCTTTCCACCGGCTGGAGGAGGAGGAGGAGGAGGAGGAGGAGGAGGAGGAGGAGGAGGAGGAGGAGGAGCGCTGGCAGGATGGGGAGGGGGGCGGTGGTGGGATGGAGGATCATCGCGGGGAAGAGGGCGAGAGTGAGGAGGAGCGAAGATCGCGGTCCACTGGTCGGGGAGGCCGGCGCCGTCGACTATAAGACCTCCAACGCCCTGGAGGAAGCGGAGCTGTTGTGCTGTAGTTCTCGGAATTGGAAAACTCGGGAGCGGCAAAGAGGGGGGGCCAGGGACGTAATGAAACAAGAAGAGGCGCCATGAAATCTGGGGAAAAATCATGGCCCACGCCATGATATCCACCCCCCCCTAGTCATCACCCCCCTCTTTTCCGCCCCCGAAAAACCGTGTTGGGGCTCCAAGACTGTCAGGGCCTGACGTGGACGAGGAGCAGGTCCCAGAAGAGGGTCGTCGAGAGGTCCGAGGATATCCCCACCTTCGAGTTGGGGTCCCTGGCCCTCTCGACGTCTGGGGGGGGGGGGGGGGCTCGAACCGGTAGTGACCGCCCCCCGGTTTTCCGGAGGGGGGGGGGGCTACCCCCCCCGGTTTTCCGGAGGGGGGGAGGGGGTTCGAACCGGTAGTGACCCCCCCCCGGTTTTCCACCAGCAGCGGTAGAACACACCCTTTCCGATGCCTTGAAGCTGCCTTCCAAACTCCACAGAGCCGAAACGGCGGAGGGGCCCGTGCGTACTCCGTGGGCTCGGCCTCCTGTGCGGCAGGAGCTGGACCACCCCTGCCCCCACCCCAGCGTGCCGGGCCCAACGCGCGCCCGTCTGCTGGGGGCCAGGCCGTGCGCCAGGCTGCTGTGCCAGCAGCCGGCGCGGGGGAGCCGGAGGTGCGGGTGACAAACGTGGCACGGAGCCACGCGCCTGTCTTCGTCGCCAGACACGTGCGCAGCACCGCAAGAGGCAACGGCACCCGTCGGTCGGAAGAAGTAGGTAGAAACATAAAGTAGGACGGCGTTGAAAGTAGATTGGGTGTCCGCCCGCCCCCTTGGGAGGCCGGAAAAGGTGAAGCAACTCGATCATTGAAGTAGGAAGGCGCCTAATGCAGAGTGACACCTGGAGCAACCAACAAAAACTACTTTCAACGACCGATGAGCAGCTGTCGAGGCCAGCAAAGCAGAGAGCATCCATGCGCGGAGCCACACGCGCCGGCGCCCCCCCAGCCAGGCCCGAGGCCCTTCCTGGGCGCCTGCCCGCGCGCAAGAGGCGGACTCGCGCGGCAGCGCGGCCGGATAGACCTGGCCGGTGCTCTGGTCCCGGACCTCCTTCCACGGGTCGGGGGACGGCTTGGGCGCCCCGAGCGCGGTGGTCTGCAGAAGAAGAGAGGGCGGCACGGGCACAGGCTTTAGGAGGCGCGCGCGGCACTTCTTGGACCTGCGCTGGGCCAGCCCTTCCTGGCGCGCGGAGCGCGCCAGGGCCGGCGCGCCGAAGGCGCCGCCATGGGGGTCCCAGAGCCGATCCAGAAGATCTCGCGCGGAGCTCCGAATTCCTCTGGTTGTGCCGTGCTTTCTTGTTCGGGCCTGGTTGGTCTGCTTGTTCCACCAATCGTTAGGGGGCGAAGGACGGTATCGAATCAACTTTCCCACCTTCGCCGGGCGGCCATCGTAGGGGCTCAAACTTTCCAGCCGCCCGGGGTGCAGGCGTCCCCGACGGCGGTAAAATGCATGTTTAAAACGACGCGAAGATCGGGACAAAATCGGATCGGGATAACTCGAAATCTCTGAGAATCGGCGGGTTTAGAGGATGTATTGGGCGCCGCGGCCGCTCCAGAGCGTTCCGGAACGCTCTGACAGCGCTCCGGAACGCTCTGGAGCGATCTATCCCGATCCTAGCCCTGTTTTGGGCCATCGTAGGGGTCCAAACTTTCCAGCCGCCTGGGGGGCAGGCGTCCCCGACGGCGGTAAAGTCCATGTGATACCGGCTTCCGCCCGCTAAGATAGGCCTCGCCGCTCTTCTCGTCCCGCACCTCCGTCCACGGGTCCACTGCCACGTCGGCCGCGGCGGGCTTTGGGGGCTGCAGGGCAACCTGGCCGCGCCGGTGAGGCGGCCGCCGCCGACGGCGTCGTCGCTGGAGGGGGGAGAGGGGATTAGGGAGGAAAACTGTGGGGGGAGGCGGAGAAGGGAGGAGGAGGAAGGAGCAGGAGGAGGAGGAGGACGAGGAGGAGGAGACCAGAGAAGGGCCAAAAACCAACGGGGCGCCGAAAACCCAAGGCGCCGAAAACCAGGAAGGCGCCGAGAACCAAAGGGGCGCCGGAAACCATGAGGAGGAGTGCGAGAAGGGACGAGTAGGGGTCAGAAGAGGAGGAACAGGAAGTGGAAGGAGGAGGAGGAGGAGGAGGAGGAGCACAAGGAGGAAGAGGATGATGACGACGATGACCTCAAGATCTCGTCTAGTCCAGCTGTGGCAATGATTGGGCCCCAATCTGCCCAAAGAGGGCGAAGGTGACGACGACGACCACGCGAAGACGACGACGACGGAGGCGGCAACGCCGGCAGCAGTGGGAACGGCGACGGCAGAGACGACCGCGACAGCGGCGGCGGCGGCGGCGGCGGCTGCGATGACGACGACGACGATGTCTCTGGAGACCTCCACTGCTTAAACAAGACCAAGAGAGAGGAGGAGGAGGAGGAGGAGGAGGAGGAATAGGAGGAGGAGGAGGAGGAGGAGGAGGAGGAGGAGGAGGAGGAGGAGTCTGCCCTCGATCACTCCACAGCTCCTTCGGTGAGCCGAGGCGCCATCGATACACACGCCGCCGTGGCGAACCCCTCCGCGCGCTACCGCTGAAGGAGCACTCGGCCTTCGGACTCCCATCAGGCTGCGACTCGCCGACAGGCTCCCCCTTTGCAGCGAGTGCCATTGTCAGGAGAGGAAAAAACACACAGACACAATGAATCCTCGATGCCCTCGAAAATGTAGGAAAATATGGGAAGTGGGGGGGAAGACAGAAACCCAGAAAATATGGGAAGACATGGGGAATAGTTTTGTTTGTGTATTTATGTGTGTGCCCTGGGGCCCCTTCACATTGCTCACCCCACAGGTTGGAGTTGGCAGGCTTCAGGCACGGAGCCCCCGCCCCGCCCCGCACACGCTGCGTGCCACGGCCGCCCCGCTCTGTGGCCCCAGAGTATCCGGCCTCGCGCCTTCCACGAGTGACGACGGTACACCGCGGCCGCCCTGCCACAAGAGGCCCGCTGCTCTCCGGGCATCCCACCTCGCGTTCTCGGGCGGGGATCGCTCGGGGCCACAGACGGTGATACGCTATCTCCCTCCCGAGTTACTTCTGCCCTCGAACTGTCTCCCCAGAACATGTGTCTGCTCCATAGGAGCGAGCAAACGCGGCCCCCAGCGCTGTCCGACCGGATTTGGAACATGTTTGGGACCAGATTTGGACCTGACGCGCCCATGGACAAGGCAGACGAAACGAACGAGGGGGAGGAGAAACAAAAAGCAAGCATGAGGAGCAGGAGGAAGGGCCAAATGCATTCAAAATGCGGCCAAGATTCAGGAAGAGCTGATTTCAGTGTCGCGGCTGAAGGCTCCCATGAAGACGTCGAACTTGGAGTACCGTGTGGGATATGCTCTAGTCAAGGAACGAAGCGTAGACGAATCGACCCTTTCTCCGACATTGTACTGTGTCGAACGCAACGGCCGCGTTGTCTATATGGACGCATCGTCCCCGAATGTGTTTTTATGCGTAACGAAACCCACTGTGCCCGCAGACGCTCGCGGCTACAAAACGAGAGCGGCACTTGGCACAGTTAGGCCGCAGGTATTGGGTTTCGAGAGGCAACTCTAGAAGAAGAAACAACGCCATAGACATAAACTTATGGCGCTGCGCGCGGATTTCATGGATCCGCACCAGAACCCCCCTCCCCGGCGCGCGGAGCGCGCCAGGGGCGGCGCCGGAGGCGGCGCCAAGCGGGGCCCAGCGCCGATCCAAGAAAGCCGCGCGGAGCGCCAAACGTATATGGTTGCGGCGTGGCTTCTTCTTCGAAGGTCGACGTGTCCCTCCAACATCGAGCGCTCGAGCCCTTGATCGGCGGCGGCATGCGGCCCGGCCCGTACGCGTCCTGTTGGCCTCGGCCCGGAGGGAGGCGGCCCTGGAGCGCGAGGGCGGCGTGCGCGAGGGCGCAGAGGCCCGGGGGCGTCCAACTTCCCAGGCCTATGACGATCTTACTGGAGGGGGGGGAAGAGGAGGAGGAGGAGGAGGAGGAGAGGAGGAGGGGAGGAGGAGGAGGGAGGAGGAGGAGGAGGAGGAGGAGGAGGAGGAGGAGGAGGAGGGTCGGCGGCGGCGTGCGGCAGGTGGCAGCGCCACCGCCGGCCGCGGCGCCGCGGGCTGGGCGGCGGGGGGCCGCGCCGCGCCGGGCGCCCGCCGCGCGAGGCGCGAGGCGGCCACGCGGAACATTGGCTCTCGTGGGGAGGTGGCGCTCGAGGGGCCCAGGCCTCGAGATGGCTCCGTGGGCGAAGGTCGAGGAGGAGGAGGAAGGGGAGGAGGAGGAGGAGGAGGAGGAGGAGGGGGAGGAGGAGGAGGAGGAGGAGGCGGGGGATGAGGATGATGAGGAGCAGGACGAGGAGGAGGAGGGGGAGGAGGAGGAAGCGGGGATGAAGAGGAGGAGGAGGAGGAGCAAGCGGAGGAGAGGGAAGAGGAGGAGGAGGAGGACGAGGAGGAGGAGGAGGAGGAGGAGGAGGGGCTCTCCAGACCCCCTCGGGCCATGGAGAAATCACGGAGGACATGTTTTCGTTGTTGCTGCTGTTTCCGGCCTCGTCAACATACGACTCGGGATGACAAGACTTGTCCTTGGGAAAAGGTTCCGACCTCTTGGGGTCCACATTTAGGATCAAAGCATGACGCTGAGGGTATGGGATTGTACGCCGTGAACATATGTATGCAGACGCGCGCCGACGAAGCTTGCCTGACCTTCAGGGAGATTGGCGGTGTATTATATCGTTGACTCTCAATCGTGATGTGTACACCGCCGCCCTCCCCTGACGCCTAGGAGCAATCCATTGGATGGGGGTCTGTTTACGTGTGTATTTACACACCTAGATGTATTTGTGTGTACATATATGTATTAGAACCACGCGCGCTGCGCGAGCGCCTCGCTTACAAACGCAGCTCGGCCATGGCTCTCGGTTTCATTCGAAGCATGGGCGACACTGCAAACTTCCCCGCATGTAGGTTTTGCGGCGCCTCCGTCTGCCTCGGCCCTCTCCTGTCCTCGTCCGTCTCGGTCCTCGCCGTTGTTGTGATCACCTTTCTCCTCGTCTCTTTACTTCTCTGCTCCCGCCGTGGTTCTCACTTTTCCCTCTTTGCTCCTATGTGGTCCTCCTCCTCCTCCTCCTCCTCCTCCTCCTCCTCCTCCTCCTCCCCTGTTCTCTCTGCCCCCCTCCTCTACTGCTCCCCCTGTCCTCCTCATCACTCGCCTCCTCCTCTCATGCCCCCCCTGTGCCCCTGACACTGGGGGTCTCTCGAAGGCCCCTTGGGGGCGTCGTGAAAGCCTATTGTGGGGCCGAGGGGGGCCTAATTATGTGGGCCTTCGTGGAATCCTCCTCCCTTCTCCTCCGTCCTACTTAATGCTCCTCCTCCTCCTCTCGCCTCCTCCTACTGCCTTTCCATTTCCCTTCGCCACGATATCCTCCTCCTCCTCCTCCTCTTCCTCCTCCTCCTCCTGATCCTCCTGATTCCTCCTTCTCCCGACTCCTCCTCTTCATATTCACCATCCTCCGCATGCTCGTCCTCGTCCTCGTCCTCCTCCTCCTCCTCCTCCTCCTCCTCCTCCTGCTCCTCCCATCTCGGGTTCGGGGCCTCGCCCCCCTGCGAAGCTCATCAATGCATCCTGCGCCCTCTCTCCTCTCGCGCTCCCCTCCCTCCCCCTCTCTCTCTCTCTCCTCTCTGTTTCCTCCACTGTCTCTGTGTGTGTGTGTCCCTCTCTCTCTTCCTCTCTTGTTTCTCTCTTTTTTTTCTGTCTCTCTCTCTCTCTCGCTCTTTCTCTCTACCTCTCTGTCGCACGGCGCTTGTCTTCCCTTCCATGGGGGCCCCCTCCCAATCCGGAGCTGGCCGATGGCGGTGGCGCTCGGCAGGGCCGGGGGGGGGGGCAGCACAAACCCCCAAAAAGGTGTTGTTCATCTTTTGTGTTGCTGACCCCCCCCCCCGCCCCACCACCACCACCACCGGTCAACCACCGCGGGCGCTCTCCGCGGGGCGGGGGCCCACGGGGAGACAGAGACGGCACAGTGGGCACCAAGAGCAGCGTGGGGGGAGGATGACGAGGGGGGGGGGGGAGGAGGCGAAAGATGAGAAGGAGCAGGAGGAGGCGGAGAGGGACGACGACGACGAAAACCACGGCGACCGGGAAGCCGAGTGCGCAGCCAGATGGCAACCAGGAGACCCCACGGGCCCCAAGTATCCTTGCCTCTGCGGGTCCCCGCGCAGTCCCCACAGGACCGCCTGTGCCGTCTTCTACGGGCTGGCGTCCTTACCGGCAAAGGAGAAGGGAGAAAGAGGGTGAGCACGCCCACAGCTGCACGGTTTTTGTTAAACTCGTACTTGCTGTTGGGAAAGATGGTCTCTCGTTGCGGTGGCGGATCGTGGATATCCTTGTCGTGGCTACCCTTCTTTTGGAATTTCACTGCCCAACACCCCTGCCTGCCCTGCCAGCTCCTTCTTCCCCAATGTATCTGGCCCCTTCCAGATCACCCCGACTGCCCTGCCCGCGCCTGCCTTCCTGTAGTTCGTGGCTCGAGTACTACCACTACCACCGCCATACTGGCGCGCGTGCAATACAATTACAATGAAATTGCACTACTACTACTACTTACTACTACTACTACTACTACTACTACTACTACTACTACTACTACTACTACTACTACTACTACTACTACTACTACTACTACTACTACTA